CTTGCCCTTTTAATACCTTTGAATCCCCCTTTAAATGTTAATCTTGTGCCAGCACTTAAGAGACAAAGTCAACTGCTCTCCTGCCACATCATAGCAAGCCATACTCTAAATCCAGCACCCCAAACTGCAATCAAAAGGATTTGCTGCTTGGTTTGTGGTGGAAGAACAGATGGAGAAACATCAACATTTAATTCAATAAACCTTTCAGCCCCTGATTCTGCTTACCCTGAAATAAAATTAAAAATATGCATGGCATCACCTGCCAGTGTGGTGGCAACCTTCTGGCCACCTGCATGTCCCCAGCTGTGTCCTGCTCATGCTCCAAATAAATACTGGAAGAACTGAAGGGATCAAGGGGAGACTCAGATCTTTGCACACTTCTCAGCTTGCAAGGTTCATACAGGAAAGGAGGGTTCAGCCTATACATTCTCAGGGGCACAAGCACCCTGTTCCCACACAGCTGCCACCTCCTGGCACTGAAGTCACAGCAATGTTTTCAGCCCCAGGAAAGCAGCGACTTTGGAAAGCATCTGCACCACAGATGGCTCTTGGCCTATGCAAAGACTGAATTTAATGGAACAACCTAACACCAAACTTCAGTGAAAAATGTCCATCTTCAACTACCATCCCAATCTGGCAGGGCACTGTAAGAAGCGCTTGGTTTTAAGATCATGCTCAAACTCTGCTGAACATGAACTGGATATTTCTGAAATTAAACACTTGCTTAAAGGACCTGTAAAATTGGGGTGCAAAAAAAAAAAAGACATACAAGGAAAATCCTCTTGCAGCTCTGGCTCAGAGAAGCAGAAAAGTGTATTCAGCTATAAAAGTAAAGTCACTGAAAAAGCTTCCTTATTTGAGAGGCACCACAAAGACTACAGCCCAGACTTCACCAATTACTTACGTAAAATCAGAACAATAGCAAGTGATAATCACAGACTGCAAAACATTCACAAAACCCTTCTGCTACCAGTGAGTTATTCCTCATGTGTGCTAATTAAATCAGTTAAGTTTTGGAAATACAAACTTGTACTGACTTACAGTTTCACAGACTGAGCCACCTGGACGTTACCAGGAGATTTGAAGGAAGAGCAATCCTGGAGCTCTGCAGAAATGCTTTAGAGCAATAAGCACAGAAACCAGCAAAAGTAAAACTATTATTACAATAAAAACTACAAGGCTGTTACAAGTCTAAACTTTTCTTTGCAGCGATTAGAAAAATGGAAGTTTTTTTTTTTAATGGGCTTTACTTTCTCTCACTTCCCTTTTTCAGGGGACATAAATCACTCTCAGCTGTGAAGGAACTACAACCATTTGGCTTCACTGGGGAGAAAAAAAGTGTTACTAGACAGAAATGAAATCAGAAACAAAATCAGTGTTTGTATGTTTTACAAGGCAGCACTTCCAACTCCTCTGCGATCCCGCACGCTCACTGTGTCTTGGAGCCATTTTCCTCGCTGCCGTGCAGAGCACGGCAGAACATGGAGCTGGCAGGGGGATTGTGTTACTGCACCGACTGCGTTGGAAAACATCAACTCCTGCACGCTGCAGCTGTCCTGCTGCACAGGCCAAGTTACTCACACAGTACTCACACGGTACTACCCGCCTGCTTGATAACTGTGCTGCCTCCTCAGAGCCAACACGGAGCAGCCAGCATTGCCCAGCTCGAACACTGGGCAAGCACCAGGCTTCAACCAAGGACCCTTCACTTTGGAACTCGCTCCTACCACACTCAGAAATTGCTGAAACTCAGAGAGGGCTATGCAAACTGCCTGGTTTCCAAAGTTTTTTTCATGCAAGTAAAGATAACTTATTAAAATTATAGTTAAAAATTGTCTTTAAATTTGTATTTAAAAAAATAAACAACAACAAACTGTTAAGCAAGCTGCTAGCAAGCAAATAAGAATGCTCCTAGAAAAAAACTTATATACATACTTAAATATATATATATAATATATACATACTATAATTTATAAATCTTTATATATATTTTCCCCTATAAAACTCCTGCCCTTCCACACTATCCTGTTCCATTTGCACTGCAGGACAATATCTGCTGTGCAGTTTTCATTTCAAAGATACAACAAGCACCCTCAGGAATGATATACAACCAATGAATGTCTATTGGTGGTGAATATTTATTTACTTGTATGAATATTTATTAATGAATGCTGCTATCAGCACCCTGCTCTCCATCTCTGGTGACCTACAAGATCTCTATCACAGCTCCTCAGTTTGGTCTTGACAGAACCAGCCCATGCACTTTTCCTGTCTGACAATGAAGAACCAGAGCACAAGCTCAAGACTAAAGAAAGGAATACTTGAAGGGTTACAAAATTTAAATAGGAAGCATCTTTCTTTTTTTTTTTTTTAACATGAAGAACTGCGACAGCTGAAAAGAGAAAGTTCATCTGATAAACAGAAATTCAAAATGTCACCAGTGTAATTAGTTTCTGAGAAAAATATTTACACTGCAGCTGAATCAAGCTACTTGCAGGCGAACCACAGCAAAACTGCAACAAGGGAGAAGGTTTTGTGTCTGCTCTTTAATGATTGTATCCTAATTATGGCAAAATTTCACCCCTTCCCAATGCTGGCTGGGAGAATCATTGTAAAATCCAGGGTCCTGCGAATTAGCAAGAAAGAGAACAATAAATTCCCCCCAAGGATAATGCATCACAAAACATGCTGCATTCATTTATTTGGCAAAGTGCAGTTTAATTACTCGTTAAAATAATGACTCCTTTGTAGGGGCCCTCACTAACATGCGTTGCTGCTCTGTATTTTGCTGAGTGGGACGAGCTGTGTGCCAAATTTGCGTGCATGGATTATACAGCGTGCGCATAAGCAGAGGGCAGAAAGGAGGTTGTACAGTGTCCTTTGTGTTTTGACAGCACATAAATGACACTCACTCTCTTCACGGAATTTGTCTGCTTTTCTGTATTTTGAAACTCTGTATTTCTTCTCTCAGTAGGGATTTTCAAGCCTCGATCCCATCTTATTGCAGAAAACGCTCAGCACAGTAAAAGTCTCTGCTGGGGAATCAGGATGTGCCCATTTTGCAGCCCAGGGTCACACATTGCTCCTACTGCTCCAGTCAGCCCCAAGGTCATACCAGGGTGCTCCACCACCATCTCACCCATTGAGAGAGGGGACTATGATTTTGAGCATCCACAGATTTCTGTTTGTAGGGCCTCATGGAAATAGGAGGGGTTTCGCTGTCACGGGACTTGCGGCATGGCTGTCAGATGTTTATACATTATACTTCCACCCAGCAGCCCAAGAGGAAAACAAACCATAATGAACAGTTTATGGATATACTAAGAAGAAGAGGAGCTGGGATCTTGATGGTAACATTACTGAAGTTGTTTGTGTCTTATTTTCAAAGACATACTGTAAGGTTGTCAGAGAAATCCCATGGATTGCACCAGCAATATCCATTAAAGGCAATGGCACAGGGCAATTCCATGGAATCCCAGAACTCTTCTTTTTTTATTCTACTGAGTGAGAACTGCCATTCCAATACTGGAGCCAGTTGTGAAATACTCCACCATGAATACATGAATATACTCCACAATACATGAATAGCTGTTGTAATAGTTTTTTTACTTCCCATTTCTACTTAAATTACCAGCTCTACTCACATTCAGGTTGCAGTATTTGCTTTGAGTTCTATAATCAAGTTTGGGCCAACTTGAGCTTCTTGACAGTATGTAAAGCCTGTAACATGGTTAGTCTCATCTTGGAGAACTTTGCTGCAGTTATAGGATGAATTTGCATGTTCCATTTTTACAAGATAGCCTGTGAGAGAGTTGTGTTTTCACAGTATGACTGTTGAACTCGATGGAGAAAAAAGTAACACTGTCATCATCCATGTATTAATACCAGCAAGGGTGGCAGAAGGTTAGAGTATAGGTCCTATCCCATCCTGCACCTTCCCCTTCACCCTCATTTTCATATGATTGGCTATATTTAAAGATGAAACTTAAATACACTCACTCCACCAACACAGATCACATTTTCTGCCCTCTAACACTCCATCCAACAAATATGCAAAGCATAATAATTTACAGTTCATAATGGAGAAATGGTGAGTGATAATGTGGACAACACAGCACACTCCAAAACATGACACTGAGTCACTCAACGTAAACTCCAAGTATCTGAAAATTCAATTCAGAAAAGCAAAGTTAATAACAAAGCTTAAGAGAACCAGGCATCAGAATAACACACATAGAGACCACATCTTTTCTCCTATACAAATATCCCTCTTGGGACTTATTTAAGCTCTTTGTCTTTATTACCCTCAGCTATTAAAGCTGGATCTCCAAACATTTGCTATTCAAAACTAACTTGCAATCTTCCAAAGGATTCCTTGTAAAACAGTGCAATAAATGCTCATGCCACTAGTTACTTGCTGTGTATCGTAAGACCGGGCTGCTTCTCAGGGCCACTCACAAGAGAACTGTTTTCTGTTAAATATTTGCATTAATTCTTACCTAATTTGTTTTTACCTACACTGGTATATACCTATTTTCTACAAGATGCTGCCTTATTTCAATACAATGATCATTATTTCATTTAACTAAAAAACTCCATATCTAAAAGGTAAGAACACAAGAGTCAACCACCACAACACCTGCTATGCCCCCTCTTCTGGGCAGCTGTGCTTGCTCAAAGAAAAGCTTTTTCACTTGTGTTTGCATAAGGTTTGTCTTAATTAGTCAATATTACAATGACTCACTTTGGGTCTTACGAGACAGCTGGAAGCAGAACACTGTGCAACACAAAAGGAGAACACAACAATATTATTGCATTTCCCCTAACCCCCCAGGGCCTGCCCCCATTGCTGCCAGCAAGAGAGGTAAAAGCAAAATTATATAAAAATTGCCTTTAAGGGTGGAGTATGGCCCTTAGACACTACTCAGGGATAATGTGCAGCAAAGCCAAGCATGGCAGAGAATGGAAAACCAGCAGAGGAACCAGCAAATCATCCTTACTCTGTCAAAAGCTGGTGCAGCTTCTGGTAGCCTCTCTCCAAGGCCAAGCTGACGGGCGTTGCCCCTTCGTTGTTGTGGATGCTCAGAGCTCCTCTTCCTCCCGGCTGCTGGAGCAGAAACCACGTCAGCCGCAGCAGACCCAGCCTCACCGCGAAATGCATCAGTGTCTCCCGAGGGATGTTCTCTGGGAAGGGGGAAAAAAGAAAGAGGAAAGAAAGAAACGGGAATTTGTAGGCTGTGGGTTAGGGGAATGTTATATCCCCACCTCCCAGCCCCACCACACACGGCGGCTGGCACAGAGCTGACAGCCCAAAAGCCAAGGAACCTGCAGCACCTGGAAAAACAACCCTGGCTGCCAACATCCAGGAGACACAGGTATTTTAAAGCAAGGGGCAGGCTACAGTGGGACTGGAAGTGCTCAGGACCTCTCACGGTGAGACTGACCACAGAAGTCAACGTGAAAAACCCACCACTTCCTGAACAGCCACAGCCACCACCAAGATGCAGCACTTCCAAACAGGAGCATGGTCAGGTGGGCTTTCCTAGACGTCCAAGCCTTCTCCTCACACACCCAGGACCAGGCTTTAGGGACTGACAAGTTTTGCTGTCTAACAGGACTCTGATTTGACCCAAGGCATGGCAGGAAAAAAAAAATCAATTACATTTGAATCCACAACAGTTATAAAAGAGAACAGTTTAAAAGCTCATATAGACAAAAAAAAAGAAAAAGCAAGGGTTTTCTTTGCCTCAGACCAACTTTTCTCAGCTTTATACAGTAGCTCTGTCGTTCTGAGTAGAAGCATTTATAAACTCCCAATCTCTGCTGCTGCTTTTTGCGTTTAATAACCGTGACCTTCTAATCTGGTAAAAGTCACTCTTGAGCCTGAGCTTTCATCTCAGAAAAATATCCCCCCAACTCCAAAAGCTGGAGCCCTAGAACGATGCTCTGAAAAGCTTTAACCAGAAATGAGCTCCAGATGCGCTGCTGAAATCCAGCATTTGCAGATCAAAGTCTGTTATTTCTGTATGAAGGGTAAAAGCAATTGGGTTAAAAAAACTGCGAGAAATAAAAATTTGTTCTTTTAATTAACAAAGGATTTCATTATTGACTGACAGCAACAACAACAAAAAAGCACCAACTGGGTCTCAGAAAGCCATGCCAATGAGCACACTTGGTATAAACCCTTTAATATCACAGCAATGATTTATTGGGTTATTAATTTGGGTGCCAGCCAAACCTATATATCAAGTTTTAAAATGTATGTACAAAATGGCTTTAGGATTTAATTTTGTATTTTTTCCTTAAGAACTGTGCCCCAAGAGAAATCACTTCTTCAAAGTGCTTTTGTTTTTCCTGCTTACTTACTTTCTTTAGGGACATCATTAAGACCTTCAGTGAAAAACAAAACAAAACAAAAAAGGGCAGTTCTTCCCTGTCTAGCACACAATTTTTCCCAACTTTTTGGATCAATTCCTGAAGAACTAATCTGTATGCAAGAACCAAAGGCTTTCTGGCACTGTTTCTCTTCTGAATGACTCCAAATTAGGTCTCTGGGCTACAAACCAATCCTTCCCCCCAACCTCCTCTTGATTACCGTAAAGCAAAACTATGCTGCCTTGAATACATGAGAGTGTCTGAATGGGAGTTCCAGCTGATGGGAGAAAAAGAGAATAGCTGAGCTCTCTCAGAGACAAATTCTCAGCCTTTGGGTAAGTAATGAGAAGGATTTTGGTGTTAAATGTTACAGAGTGTAATGATTTAGAAATAATACAACAAGGAATTCAATCAATGTTTTCAGCCTTGGATCTGAAGAAAAAGAAAAATAAGACACCATATGGACAAACATAAGGGAAAGGTTACTGATGAGGCTGTAACATGGGTAGATACAGGTAGGACTTACCCAGAGTGAAAGTAAATGCCCAAAGTTTCACTTAATGAACTTGTACATGTTCAAAGCTCCCACATTACCTGTACACTAGCAAAGTCAGCACAATTAACATGGTACAATTCTTCCTACAGAGATGTAGGAGGCACAAAAGCACTTCTGTTAGAGCACATGACATGCCATTCAAATAAAGCACGTATTGCACTGGTCTGACCACACCTGTTCTAGCACAAGATGTCCTGTTCTAGATGTGTTGAAAGGAAAAATCATTTTCTTAATTAATAGTCAGTCTTGCACCAAATCTGAGCAGCTTAGAGCTACAAAGCATAAGCACAGACCCCTGGACAAAAATGCTTCTTCCTCCTGCAGCTGAGAGCTTTACCAATAGGTAGAGGCATCTTCTACTCACCAATTCATGGCTAAACACACACATCAACTGAAAATTCTGCAAGATGCAAAAACTCATCCTGTCCCTGAGCTAACTGGGTGCCCCTCTCTGTCTCGTATGTCCACACAAGAAATGCCCCCTCCCAGTTGTCCCAGTCTGTTCATATGATTGCACCTTTCATGTTTTCCTTATTCTTTTAAAACAATCTTCTTTATCACCAAATTAGTGGGCACAGTAGTTCCAGAGTTTGGATGGAGATGTCTGCAAATACAACTGCACTGGACGTGGCCCTGCCCCAATGCCTTGGAGCGAGGACAACGTGCACAGAAGATCTGTACAAGAGGACATGGCGTGTTGCCATCAGAGCATATTAAACATACAAGCTCACTATCCAGGCCCATTTGGAAGACTCTGCCTAACATATAAACTGGCACGAGGCCACCCTAACAGATGGGCACGGATGATGGCAGCAAAGAGACAAAGTACTGTACATCCAACAACTGCAGGGGCCCCAGGCGATGGCTTTAGAAGGTTCTGGAGTGCGCAAAACTTGTATGGCTGCAGTTAAAAAAGGCGTGTGCCATCTGTGGGCTGGATTAACTACTAATATATAATGAAGAATGCATCTGTTGGTGCAAGGTATTGCTCAAAACTAGACAAGAGCTGGTCTGCATCAGGCATGGGTGTTTTGCTGGATGGAGAGGGGAGGAAGACAGATCCCTTCAGACTTCCTACCTTTGAAGGGATGAAGCTTGTAATACAAAATGTTGAAAATTCAGTCAATGATTTTAAGATCTTGCCACGGTGCAAAATACATGTCCCAGGCATGGAAGAATATCAAAAACTTTAAAATGCAATAGCCAGAGCTCCGTCTCCTACCCTGTACCAAGCATGAGCTCCTCATCTTAAAATGGTTGTTGTCTGAATGTAAACAAAAACCTTCCTGTAATTAGGAAATTGTGGAAATACAAGACACATGATACTGAAAAGGCCAAGGTTGTTTTGTTCCTTTCTTGTTTCCTAGTAATAGGCAAGAGTTGAAACATATGATTATTGCCCCATAATGGCAGGGCACTCTAATCCAGCTGGCAAAACACAACATTTTAGATATATTATTTTTGAGTAATTCTTTTCTGCTGTGATACGTGAACAGTTTATCTGTGCAACTGAGGACAAAACTTCCATGGAAGACTGTCAAATGTACTTTGTTAATAGTAAAGGATTAAGGTTTAAGGTGCTCCTAGGACAAAACAAGTAAGCATTGAAGATAAAAAAAAGTTTGGGTATGATACACACAAGAATACTACGTAAAATATTTCATTTTAATCCTGATCAAATAACAGAGAAAAACTGCTGTTGCTTTTTTAAAATCAGTTACATAGAGAGTAATCTATACCTAACTGCTCAGTTTATCCAACATGCCCTGAGACATCTCACCATGGAACAGCCAGCCATGGAATGGGTAGCACTGCTTGCTACTCTTCCTGTGCTGTTCACCTTCACCTGCTTCTCACCCCAAATCACATATAGTTGGCAATTTTGAAATCTACCATCAAATCTGGCCTCAAAATGCTGTTTTTCTGCTGGAAATGTTCTCACTGCTAGGATCAATCCTTGAGGAACAAGGGTGAAAAAACCCCAGAAACAAGCTGTCACCTAACGCTGAGGTCCTACGGGAAGGCTCCAGCACACAACTGCACTGCAGAAAGGTCAAGGCAAAGCTGTTGTGTTTGGAGTTATGAGTTCAGTTAATAAAAGACGTGTGGGTAATTCTTTTCCTAATCAGATAAACAAGAAATTTTTCAAAGCACACCAAAAGATCTTCATGTCCCCATTCCAACTAATATCAAAGGGAACAGAAACATTCTCATGCCAACAATTTCTCAGCCACAGACTAAACGGTACATCTCAGTCCTGAGCAGAATACTTCAGATGCTGTCTGCACAAGAATTACTTTCTGCTTCTCATTTTCCACTGCAGAGGGCAGTAAATTTAAGTATGGAAAAGACTCTTTACATCTTATAGCTGAACAGACCACTTTGTGCTGTTGGCACTGAACAGATCACGGTGACTTATGCCACACAGCCCCTTACCACAGAACACAGAAGGTGAGCAGCAGACTGGAAAGGATATGAAACCCAACAAAAAGAATACCTAAAACTACTACACTGAAAGGGTTCAGTGAGAAACTATAAAAAGGGTACATAAAATGAACAGATTAAAGCTCTATGTCTAAAAAAAACATCATCAGCTGCGTATCTTTAACATCCTCTCACGGGAAAAGAGGTTAGTTCCTAATAATCAAATTCTGAAAGTTTTTAAAAGTTTTTTTTAGGCTTTTTGCTTTTTTTCTTTAAAATAAGACACTCTGTTTGGTTAGTTCCTATCTTCAGACATTCTCCCTTTCTGCAAAAAACCACCAAATTAACTATCTCTATTCACAATGACACTCATGTTGTCCTGTACATTGAAATCCATCCTACTGTTTTTGTACGTGATGTTATTAAACCCATAATCCATTCAGACTATTTCATTTCCTTCTCTACCCACCTTCTAACCTGGGGGAGCTCGGGGAGTTTAGTTTCCCAAGCAGTACTTACTGCACAAGAGTGTTTATCCCACAGCATTTCTGGGAAGCTGCACACATTCAACACATCAGTAACTGTAATCTGTTAAGGTTCTATCTAATCAGATGGTCTCCTGGTTATCTGCCCACAATCCTGGCTCACTGTCTCCCAGCAGCCCTTACACTGCCAGGGGAATTGCTCCATATCATGGTGATCACAGCAACCCTCTGCCAAAGTTAAGCAGCTCCTGAAGCACCACCTCAGACAGCCCACACAACCAAAACTGTAACCATAGGTCTGGGTTTCACCACTCACTTTTAAAAGCAAAATGAAAAGACTGTTTCCTCAAAGGTTTTGTCAGAATACTACTTCAAGATATTTTGAAAGTGATCTGTTTACTAGTGATACAATTAAGCTCTCTTAAGCTTTTCATACCTGAGCCTTAGATCCTCCCTAGTTTTTTTTCTGTCTTTTTTTTCCCCACTGCAACATAAACGAGCCATAATCATTACTCATACCTCAAAATATTCAGTTGTGGTTTTTTAGTTAGCTTATTTTCTTTTCAGTAATTTAAAATAGAACATCGCAGTCCTGTATTTACATTGCATAAATCCTCAGAATACATATTAAATTTTGATTTCTAGACATAAAGTGCAACAATCTGTTCCATTTAAATAGCTGCCTTTAAATGCCACTGAGAGCAGTAAATAACCCTACTTTTGACAGCAGTAACAACTATGTTCTTAGGAAAGTTACAGTGCACTTGTAATTATTAAGACAGACATGATTATATGGCACCTGAAAGAAATGCTGTGTTTGGAATACCACAGTAACAAGACTAATCCTTAGTTATGGGTATTCTGAAATTGTGGATGCCATTTGAGTTCATAGAGATACACAGATAACTAAGTGCAAGGCCTGCTGTGCAGGGACACTGTATGGCTGGGGGAAGAGCACAATCCTCAGGACACGGCTGTTCCCAAACAGCAGCGATGAGGACTGAGATGTGCAGGGAGGAAGGAGCTCAGGACACTCTTGCCCAAGGGGGTTCAGGCCCACTCTCTACCTGCTATGAAAATCCTGTCCCTACACACACGTGTGCACCTGACTGGCCCCTGCAACCCAAGGACACAGTGATGGACCAGCTGAGCAGGACCATGGCACCACACATGGCACTGCTTCCTCTGCCTCCTCCAGCTCCAGCACGTGCCACGCTTTCTGCAAGAGAGGATGGAGCTCAAGGACCTCTAATGTCAGGAATCTTAGGTTCTCCCATTCCTAGTCTGCTGGCTGTGTCTGTTTACTGACACAGCAGATTAGTTAATCGGTCTCAGGAGACAGAGCAGGGTGACACTTTTAGCAGCTTCTCTGCCCTCTGGGGTGTGTGATGGCAATGAACTCCCTGCCCTCTGCTCAAAGACTAGTCAGGGTTGAGTGCAAGTGAAAGCAAGGAGAAGCCTCCACATAAAGTCATCCCCTCCTCTAAATTCAGCCTGGATTTGTGCTCAGTGGTGGATCTTGTACCCAGCTTCTGCTTGCAGAAAGGCCATTACTTCCTAACTTTTACAAAAGTTAGACTCCTACTTCAGGCCTTCGAAAAATCGACTTTTAAACATGCTTGACAGCAACAGCCATCTCTGAACAGCAGTTCCCCATCAGGCTGAGGCACTCGGGGAGCTGGCTGAGGCTCCCGGCTCGCTCCCGCCTTCCAAGGTTTTGCTGAACAGCAGCGTTTTGTTTCCAGCCCACAAGAGCCCATAGAGACATGCCAGCTTAGAGGCAGTGCTAAACATCTCTCAAGGAGGGATCTGACATTTTCTTTTGTTCTCATTTCTATAGTATTTTCTCCTTCGAGAAGGTTATTTGAAGTTATCTGGTGCTGACATTTAGGGAAAATGTGAAACATGAATTGGAATAGCTGTTCATAGGTAGTGTTGCAGTGCAGGACAGCGTGTCCCACTGCAGAGGCACTGGCCAGAATATGCCTACTTGTTCATATGCTCCCACAGTTCCAATCTTTGCAGTCCTTTTCTCTCTCCCACACACAAATTAACACACAAGCGCCAGTATAAGGGTGCTATGTTTTACCACAGAGATTTTTCTAATCTAGAGCTCCGTCATAAATCAGGGACATCTCTTCTATTTCACTCTAGCAAAACAGTTTCATGACCAAAAGGATGCTTACACATGCAAATCTTTCCTGTCACAATCACAAAAATTCCCCCAAATACCCTATGTATAATTATCTCACTGCAAAAAAAATAACTCTAAAAAAAAGGGAACATATTTTATAGCACTAATATTCTTGGATGAAGGTTGCATTTAATGCCATTACGTTTATTCACTAATACCACTGTCTACTAAAACCTCACCACAATATGTCAAAACACTCAGAGTTACAGAATTCAGCACTACAGAGCTCCCCCTTCTCACTGAGAATGCCACAGATGCTCCACAAGTCCATTAGCATTCAGAGCCCAACACAACCGCAACTTCCAGGCACACAAGCACACACTGAACAAACCAATGTAAATCTCATGGCCTGATTTCCCTAAATGCTGATTTTCCAAAGAATAATCAAAATCAAAAAGAGAAACCGGATCTCAGCTTCCTGCAAAATCAGCAACAATTCAGAGCTTCAAAGTTTTCATTAAGATCACTTTGACCATATTTTTATCACTTCAACCACAGATGTCTGCATTATCACAACTTTCTTAAATGCAGAAAGAAACACCAGTGACTTCCACGTAGAGGAAAAAAAACCCAAGTGTTTATCTCCTTGTAAACATATGACAGCTGCTGAATTTCTATCCAGAAACGATTAAATATGACCAAATCTTTCAATGTCTGCTAACACGAGAATTGCCTGTCCATGTATTCAGGTTTACAAAAGCAGTCAGCAAGTTGGAGAAAAACAAAGCAGGAAAATCTCCTGTGGAAAACCCTGTTGCAGTGAGCAGAACTGAGCCTGCTGCACCAGGCAAGCCACGTGCCAGTCCTATTCAAGTGTTTATGCCATTGCATCCTACAAAAGATAACAGATGCCTCATAGTCACATTCCTGAAGTGAAACTATTTGCCAAAATACCCTGAAAATTTACAGCAAGTATTTGTAAACACTGGAACTAGTCCCCTAACCCCCCAGTATGCTTCCTTTTACTCCCCCGTGACAAAATAAGAAGAACTCCAAGAACATGGACATGCCACAGCATCCGGAACACCTCGGCACTTCTGCTTCAGCAGTCACCAGAGACTTTGGGCCAGTCTTGAGGTTTATTTATAAGCTCTCAGTAACCCTTGCTGCTGTGGGGAAGGGTCAGACTTTCCCACCTTCCCCCTCCTATATTTGCAAAATTGTCCAGGTTTATTTTGGGGAACTTCTGTGCTAACCCAGCTGATGTACAACCAGGGATGCAATATAAACCCTCAGGGAAAGAGCCACAACTTCTCCAAGAAAAATAACATATATTTTACACATAAAATCTTTGTACCTGGTCTGTAAAACCAACATTTAGCAAAAGCAACAGATTTGTGGCACAAGGATATTTCCAGGAGCATCAAGACTTTTTACACACAGGTTTTTGTCAGGATACAGTGTGATGCTGATACACATACCATTGCTACACACAAAAAAACCCCCCCTTTTGGGTATGTGTTAAAATATTGACCATTTACGTCAGCTCGTGCTATTTCATAAGAGAAAACCCAGAGAAAACATCAGTCAGTGCCTTATGTACTTTATGTTGGCAGAAGGGCAAAGCATAGGATGAAGATGCTGCAGGTCCCTTCTCTGAGCACAGAGGCCACCACACCTTCTGAAAGGTATGTGGGGGGGTCCCAAGGCAGGGAGCCCTTTCTCCCAGGCTTTTTACCTCTCTGCCAACCCACAAGTCTCACTGTGCCCTAGGAAAGCCTCACCGGTCAGGGACTGGTCTGCTCCCAGCACGTTCCATTCTGCTGGAAGTTTCAGGTGTCGAAACGCCAAAGCCACTTTCTCATCCAGAAAGTCCACGTCTGCAGCAGGGGGTCTTGACCGGTCCAAGAACCGCGTGAAGTTCAGCGCCTGCTGGTTGCCAGCACAGGTGGCCAGAAACTGGGCGGCATCGTAGGCTTCATCCTGGACAAACTGGAAACTCTCTTCTGCCACAACCAGAACAGGGTGACCTTCTCTGGAGGCACAAAGTGCCACCTTCACTGTCTCACAACAGTCATGGCCTGCAAAACAAAACCCAGAGAAATTGTAAAAACAGAAAAATGGCACGTGTGGAACAAACAGAACTGACCAACTCTTTTGACATACATAGTCTACATTAAATCAAGTAAGACCAATGGTCACAACTCTAAAAATAATACTATCTCAGGAATTTATATGCATCATCAGAGATAAGTATTTCCTATAGACTTTAAAAGGAAAAGATGTGTAACTCTTCTCTGTCCCAACATAAACCAAGAACTATTAGACACCTTTATCTGACCAGGCTATTTATGATCCATGACAAGTAAACTCAAGAGTGTTGAGTAATTCCAGCGAAGATTTTGCTAACGTACCAAAAGCCAGATTATATGGTCAAATTTTTGTTTCCCAGCTCCACAGGACTCCGGTAACTCATCAGAAACTAGAATCGGAGTGCTGCAAAACTACATACTCCAAATGCTGTCACAACACTTGGCTTATACTGAAAACATTGGAATTTCACCTAAAACAAAGACCTAAATGACTACCAGAGCAAAACCTTCCCAGGCATGCCCTGTGCTTGCTCACTGCTGCACCTGCCCCTTTTGTTTGGGTTCACATGACAAAACTAAAACTAAGCTGCCTCTGCTAAATAAAAACATGGAAATGGCCACTTTCCATATTTACAAAACAAAAAAGTTGGAAGTTCGATAACTTTATTTATTCAGGGCACAGGAAACAGGAGAAAGGAGGTCCTGGCATGGCAGCAATTTCATTGACTCAGAAACTCAAAAAAAAAAAAACCCAAATCCAAAACCCACAACACCTTTTTGCAATTTTAAAAGGAAAAATATACTATGTGTCCAACACAGCCAGCACTTTTAGTTGTCAGACGTGCCCCTTCAATAATAAGGTTTGTGTTTCAAGTTCACTATGTGGCACAGTTTCTTGTTCCAGCCTCAGACTGACGTCATGGCTGTTTTTGCCAGAACGGCATGGACCCTGCACTAATTACTGGAAAAGCTTCTTTTTGCCCATGACCTCAGCATACTACCACATTCATGAAACCCAGCTTAATTAAATACAAAATGACGATTTATTTTTAAAGGCTTGAAAATTCAATTTAAGCCCCTGTTTGTGGTCAGTGGGAAAGTTTCCTTCGTCTGTCAGGGCCCTTTGCTGTTGATTTCCCTGACAAAAGGGAAAATATGTCCCTAATCTTCATGGTCTTTCAGCCAAACTCACAAATCTGTTCTGAGGCTTTTGGCATCTGTACAGGTTTTGTGTGCTGAAAGAGGCGATCCTGAAGTTAATTGAAAGGTCAAAACTGCTATTAGGACACTGCGGGGAGCACCAAAATTATCAGAGATGAGGCTGCGTGGCTTCCTAAGGAGAGCAAATGCAGCTGGAAAGGTATCAAAGACAAGTGTAGACGGGGAGGAAAACACATGGATGTTGCTGCAACAGCTCAGTACCTGAAACAGGAGGCTCTGAAGTTGAGAGGTGAGAAAATTTCTTTCCTCCCAGCATCAGGCATCTATCAGCAAGAGGATGATGTGAAAACTGAAGGCATAGGTTTACTAGTATGGATGTAATAAAAGAGAATAAGGGTAGGGAAGACCTACTTCTACTGCTCTTGGAAATATTGCACATGCATCCTAATACATCACTGTTCAGTGGGTGGGCAGGGAACTCAGCAGCTCATATGAAACCCCTTCACAAACCCTGCTCGTGCCCACAGTAGAAGCCTCAAATGCTGAAGGGAGAAGTTGTGGGACAGTACAACTTTGGGGGAACTTGCCTTTAATGCCACTTAGAACTGTACATCTCTCCCCCTACACCTCCTTGCTTTGCTGATCTTCCTAAGGACATCTAAATATGGAGCAGGTAAGACATCAGTTTTATCCACAGCCTCCACGAAGCTGTGAGTTATGCACACTCCGAGAAGGCCACGCCAGCCTATAGGAGCTGACTCAAGTGCTGCGAGCTGGGCTCTCCTCAACGCAGAGCAGTGGAAGTTTGCTAGAATGAGGAGTTAAAGAAAAAAAACAACAAAAACACCATAATAAAAGATTCCTTAATAGCATGAGAACAGCTAACCTTTTTATTTTTTTAAACTTTTTTAAAAACTATTTTCTGTCTATTCCCATAAGAATCCCATCTGCAAAATAACGTACAATACAGTTACTCTGCCAGAAAGTCAGTGGACTTTCAGGATTGAAGAGACAGGCAAAAAATGGCCTGTGAGCAGCTACAGAGAAACAATTTGGGACAGTCGCTTCCTTGCCACAAAGCCAAACAACTCTTCTGTGGGACAGCAAAAGCACCTCCATTGAGACAACAACTAGAGAAACATCACGGATGTACACAGAGTTCCCTTGGATGGAGCAGATGTTAAACACCAGATGCAAAATGTAACACAAGGGAAGGTGACAAAAAGACCTGTAGCCAAAAATGATTCTCTTGAAACTTCCCCAGATATCAAATGCAGTCTAGAAGAGGAGGTGACAGACCTGACAATCCATTTTCATCCAACAGGATCAAACAAGCATCGTGCTAAACCCTGGGGAGCGTTCTTCGAAAGGGCAACCACTCACAAGGCTTTGATGTTCTGCTTCCTCACATCTGAGAAGATGTCAGACTCGGGGGTAAGGATCTGGGACAGGTTCTGACTTCTGGCAAACAGTTCAAACAAAAGAGGAGCCAGTATGTAACAGGAGCAGCCAATACTAGAAAGATTGCTCAAGAAGTCTCTGCCCCCCGCTTTGAAACCGCTACAGGAACAATGTGAGCAAACATGTCCCCAGTACATGAACTTTCTGAAAGAACCATTGGTGGGGCAACGCTTCTCTCCACATCAAACACCCAATGGCCAAACTAATGCCTGAACTTCAATAGCCCTTTTTCCAAGCGTCAGCAAAAGTGAGGAAAGCTTTGTGGCATTCTCAGGAGATAAGTGGTTATCATCTGTAAAAACAGCCCAAATCTGTTTTTATGAGGTTAAGCAACTTGTTCAAGATCACGAAGAACTCCAGGCAGTACCAGAGCAGACACTATTGCTCTTGTTCAGCACCTTTCAGCTCCGGCTGGCAATCAGCAGGGCTTTCTCCTAACATGGCTCAAGCACCAAGTTATGCACTTTACAAGCATCAGGGTGGTTGGCTGACTGTAACATCCTCATTCACATACTCAGATGTGGAACAGAAAAATGTCTGACTCATTAAAAAGGTGAAAAAAACCCAGGTGTGTCAGTGGGCTGGTTTTGGCTGGAATAGCGTTAATTTTCTTTGTAGTAGCCAGTGTGGGGCTGTGTTTTGGATTTGTGCTCGAAACAGTTGATAGTTCAGGGATGTTTTCATTCTTGCTGAGCAGAACTTAGACAGAATCAAGGCCTTTTCTGCTCCTGCCTCCACCCCACCAGAGAGGAGGATGGAGGACACAAGGAGTTGGGTGGGGATATGGTCAGAAAAGCTGACCTCAGCTGACCTCAGGAATATCCCAGACCATATGGCTTCATGGTCAGTGTATAGAGCTGGAGGAACAAGAAGGAAAGGGGGACAACTGGAGTGATGGTGTTTGCCTTCCCAAGTCACCATTACATATGATGGAGCCCTGCTGTCCTGGGATGGCTGAACACCTGCCTGCCCATGGGAAGTGGTGACTGAATTCCTTGTTTTGCTTTGCTTGTACATGGTTTTTCTTTACTCATTAACCTGTCTTTATCTCAATCCACAAGATTTCTCACTTTTACTCTTTAAATTCTCTTCCCCATCCCACCGGGGGGGAGCATGCAGCTGTGTGGGGGCTTAGTTGCTGGCTGGGGTTAAACCATGACACTCAGGAAGAGAGATGAGCTTATTTATAAAGGTTTGCATTTTGGTAGGCTGAAAACACATTAACTGAATAAATCACACAGGTGAGTGCACCCCAGAGAAGGCATGATAACTCTCAGTGCTTTACTATGCAAGCAGGTTCACAATGCCACCCAGCACCCCTTCTGATTGCCTTAGTCTTCTCCAGAAATCAGGCCCTTTGGCCAAAATAGAAATCACAAACAAATGATGAAATCGTGAACATTGTCACACTGGTGCCATCGAGTTCAAATTTTAACTCTTATGACAAACAACAGTGTTTCCCCCTAGCTGACATCTCAGACTGCACAGAGTAACATCATGTGTATGACTATGCTTCCATTTTTCACACTTTTTTTGCCACAGTATGAGATGTGGTCATTTATATGCTGGCTTGACAGATAAAATTTTAATAACCCATCCCTGAACTCTTGCAGGATTGCATTTTATCCCATTTCTCTTCCTGCTCCTAAGTTACTTTAAATCTAGCTTGGAAACAATTCACAACTTGGTGCTGTTTTGAGAAGTGCCAACATATTGCAGGAAAAATACAAAAATTAAAAAACTATTTCAGTCTATGCAGAGATGGGCGCAGCAACTAATTCTGTTGCGATAAAGCGAATTCCTCATCTTCATGTAAAACTACGCTTTAAAAATTATTTTAAAGGGGACAATAACTCTTGAACTAAATAATTTCTTACTGAGGATGAATGGGAACACTTAATGAAGCTTGCTTTGGGGAAAATACAAGAATGAAAAATGAAGACATGGTGTTCTGGTCTGTCTGTACTTAGCCCTGAAGAGATGAGATGCATCTGCATGATAACACAACCTCCTCTACATGATAACAATGCAGAACAATGAGTAGGAGAAAAGGTGGAGATTTCTGAGCTGTAAGTCATCAGCAGACAAGTTAATGTACAGCTTAGACCTGTCCACCTGTGCCAGGGATCTGGGATGCAGTTAGAAGGGCAGAACTGTTCTGACTTCTTCTTGTTAAACAAAACACCCCTAAACAGAACTATACTAAAACATGATTTCATTTCCTACTCCTCCAATAGTGGAAATCCTGTCCAAACCTCCTATTTTCAGAATTCACATTGGAGCTATTAAACAATGGGCCCCCAGCCTGGGCAGCTATTTAAAGCCCTGCTGGAAGCACATGTTTGGGTTTGCCTGGTAGGTGACTA